GCATAAATTAGGATTGAGATGTAAATTACCCCTTTGTTGATGGCTGGAGTTCCAACAGATACATACCATGTTTTTAGGTGGCACAGAAAGAGATTGATATGAGCAGGTCAAATGGCAGGGACATACGTTTGACAAATACCAGATACATTTCAGAGGCCTAATGACAATATGTTTGTAACAGGAGATACAAATAGAAAGGAATAATATATGTGATACAAAAGCACAATATATATGTTACAGGAACCTAATGATTACAGAATAACAAGCTTTTACTAAATCTAGTATATCAGTATTTTATATTCTATATTATTGTTTCCCTACAAAAGGATGGAAGGCTGAGTCAACCTTGAGCCTTGGCGAGATTCGAACCCTGCAGTAATTGCAGGCAGCTGGTCTTAATAACCAGCTTAATAACAGGGTGCCTTAAACTCCTGTACTACCAAGGCTATTTACCTAACCGAGACTTTGCTGCAGTTCAAAAAAAGAATTGCAAAAAGAAGATTTTTCCATGGGCCGTTGCAACTGACAATCCTCAAAAATGAAGATGATTTTTTTTAGAAAATGTCCTGAAAAGTTCCTGCTTTTAGAGCTTTGCAGCTCTGCCTTTTTATAGTTCTTCCCAATCTGATCAACTAAGATTCCCTGGTTTTATTTATTTATATATATAGAGAGAGTAGGTTTCTGCAGCACTGAAGACTGTTCTTCTGTATTTCATCTCTCTTTTTCCTTGAAGAACAGCAATTATTATTTTTTTTGTGTTGCTAATGATATGGAAAGAATATGGCACTGTTTTCTTTGGGAAATTTTTTAAAATTTCCCCATTCTGAGATCTCCTGGTGGTCTCCCATCCGAGCCCTAACTAGGTTTTTGACATTTTATGATCTGCTCCAGTTGCTGTCTGTCCTTTATTAAAGAGATTAAGTAAATCTCTTTATTTTTAATTATTTCTTTGCTCTTTGATTAACTTTAATCTCCTGCTTTTCCTTCAAGGAACTTGAGGCAACGTAGTATGAAGCGCTGATCTCCATTCCAGAGCAAGATTGGTGTTGAAAATTAAGAAATATTTTTAATGCCACAAAGATTCATGCTTTCCATATTTAAAATTTCCATTTCGGATAATGGTTTGCCTTCATTTCCTCAAAAGGCCCCTCGGTTGTCTTTATGTCCGCCATCTTGTTTTGTCAAGGGAAATAACCTTCTTAGAGGGTTGACTTCAGTTTCATTCATTTTTCTTTTTGCTGAGGAGAAATAAAAGCTTAAAAGGGGCCAAAGGCATCTGGCATCACAACTGTCAAACAAACCGATGCCATTTTGTCTCAGTCATGGAAAGCCATCAATCATCTCTTCAGCATCGCCATTTTGTCTGTTCCTGAAGGGGAAACGTTGACAAAATGGCCTCCCTATGGTGGCTTTTAATCCATGTGAAGAGAAACCATATTTATTGGCTCTCCCCCCTCCCCCTCCTCCTCAGGCACCAAAATAATAAAAAAGGACATTTCTGAGGCAAAATCAACAAAATTGCAAATTGCCATTTCTCTCTCTTTTGGGCTTTGAAGTACAGGGAGTTCTCAATTTATGACCACAACCGAGTCCAAAATTCCATTGTTATGCAGTTATTAACTAAGTGTTGCATCCTTTTATGATTTTTCTTGTCACAGCTGTTAAGTGAATCCCTGCAGTTGTTAAGTGAATCACAAGGTTGTTAAGTGAATCTGGCTTGTCCATTGAATTTGCTTGGCAGAAGGTCATAAACAAGGATCAAATAACCTCAGGACACTGCAGCCATGATAAATATGACCCAGTTTCCAAGTTTCAAATTTTGTTCACATGACTGCGGTCATAAGTGTGAAAAACGGTCATAAGTCCCTTTTTTACAAAGCCGTTGTATTTTCACTAAACAAATAGTTGCAATTCAGGACTATCTACTGTATAATCTGGTGGGTTTTTTTTTTTACTGTTGAATACTTCAGTCCATGCTTGAGAGAATTACAATAAGGGCATAATTCAAGATACAGGTAGTCCTTGACTTACAACAGTTCATTTAGTGACCATTCAAAGTTGAAGTGGCACTGAAAAAAGTGACGGATGACCATTTTTCACACTTACGACCGTTGCAGCATTCCCCAGGGTCATGTGATCAAATTTAGAAGCGTGGCACCTGACTCATACTTATGACGGTCACAGTGTCCCAGGGTCATGTGATCCACTTTTGCAACCTTCTGACAGGCAAAGTCATGTTACTAATTTAACAGCTGCAATGATTTACTTAACAACTGTGGCAAGAAAGGTTGCAAAATGGAACTAAACTTAACAAATGTCTCACTTAACAGCATAAATTTTGGGCTTAGTTTTGGTCATAAGGCGAGACTACTTGTACCAGGAAAACCTTGTGGCACTCACAACTAATCCCTGCCAGTAACGAAGCCTGAAAATTTCACAACACCAAGTACTTTGTTGAAATACAAAGCAACTTCATTAAAAGATTAATTGTTTCAATCATTAGTTAGCAATCCTAATAACCCCAAGGAAGTTTCCTTATTTCTTGATTGATGCTATCCAACTGATAGGGCTCCAGGCAATTTTTTTAGTGATAAAATTAAATCTGCCTTTATGTAGAACGTGTTGTACAGAGCACAATCATCATGGTGAATCACAGTCAGCAGAATTTAATTCACACAAAACTGAACCTTCTTTCAGTGTTATCCTGATTTAGTAACATGTTCAACAGTTAAGCTAGTTATTTATCAATGTTTTAGGATCGAATCTGATAGGATGAGGTGGGGTGGGGTAGGGTAGGGTAGGGTAATGGTAGTATAGAGTAGAGTAGAGTTGAATGGAATGGAATGGAATGGGATGGGATGGGATGGGATGGGATGGGATGGGATGGGATGGGATAGGATAGGATAGGATAGGATAGGATAGGATAGGATAGGATAGGATTGAAAAGTACCTTGGAGGTCTTCTAGTCCAACCCCTTGCTCAAGCATAAATTTTAACTCTATTAATGGCAATGCTGTTGATTGCATCATCGATGTCTCAATGTTTTTTATTTCTGTTTCTTAAATCCACTAATGATATTTTTTAAAATGGCTAGCCCTAGGTTAAATACGGATCTCTCCTCATTTTGCTTTGTAATGTAATTACACTCCTTAAGACTCATTTTCTAGCCTGTATTTAATGTACAGTAATTGCAAAAAGTATATTTAATTTTTTTTCAAGTCAGCTTTGAGTTTTGGCAACTGCCTGAAGTCCCTGCAATTTTAAGGGCAGCATTTTTGGAAGTGGTTTAGCATTTAGTATCTAAAGGCAGGACTAAATTCATCAACCTATTTACTAGACACTGGAAAGGGCAGAAATCTAAAGGCCTTTTCACAGCTTTGATTAAAAACAAACAAACAAGAGAAATCCCTGCAATATTTCTAGGATCCTCCATAAATCTCTATAAACTCCATAATGTTTACAGGTAATTTAGATTTACAACTATTCATTTAGGGACTTTTTGAAGTTACAATGGCAATGAAAAAAGTGACTTTTGCCTGTTTTTCACATTGCAACATCCCTGTGGTCATGTGATCAAAACTCAGAGTGTTGGCTACTGGCATGTATTTATGACAGTTGCAGTATCTTGGGGTCACATGATCCCCTTTTGTGACCTCCTGATGAGCAAAGTCAATGGGGCAGCCCAATTCACTTTACAACCATGTTACTAATTTAACAACTGCAGGGATTCATTTAACAACTGCGGCAATGGGGCCAAACTCACTTAAACACTGTCTTGCTTAGCAACAGAAACATTGGGTTGTAAGTTGAGGACTTCCTGTTCTTAAACATTCTGAAACCATCTAATTTGACCCTAAAAGCCACAAGTGAAATGCTCTTTGAAATGATTAAAAACCTGAAGTTTCTGTCTTTCCAATCATTTATTGATCTGGTCCCGAGTGAGAAAATATCCTGTAAATTAAGCTAATAATGGCCATATGGATAGATGGCCATAATCTATCTATCTGTACCTATCTACCTGTCTATTCTTTTCCTTTCTTTCTTTCTTTCTTTCTTTCTTTCTTTCTTTCTTTCTTTCTTTCTTTCTTTCTTTCTCTTTCTTTCTTCTCCTACTTCTTCTCCTTCACTTCTTTTATTTTTTATAAAAGTTTTTATAACAAACAAAAAAGTATTTAAACAAACAATGCATTTTTTCTGAACAGAGTATCGGCCGAGTCACAATTTGTACCACTTTTAGTTTCTAGAACACCATTTTATATATTTTATATATTTCACTTTTCGCCATAAAATTCTTTCTCTCTAATTTTTTATTTTATTTTCCTTCTGTTTCTTCTAATACGTAAACAATATTACCATTCACCCTATTCTCTAATCTTAATCAATTTTTCTTTTTCCACTCCTCCCTTTACTATTTTCAAATTGAAACCCTTTAAATTAAAACAAATTCTTCTCCTTCACTTCTCCCTCCCTCCCTCCCTCCCTCCCTCCCTCCCTCCCTCCCTCCCTCCCTCCCTTCCTTCCAATTTCTCTGGGCTGCTCCCAATTGAAAACATATAACATATATTACAATTAAAAAATAAAAACTACTTTTTAAAAAAACCAGTAAAACAGTAAAAAAAAAAAAACACCATTCGTTTAGTGGTCTTCCACCCAGTCTAACTTAAACTTAGCTTTGCAAAGTCAGCTCAGGACTCTCCCTGCTGAGGCTCAACCCTCCCTCCAACTATCCCAAAATCCCCGACCCTCACTAGCAGAGAATTATGGGAGTTGAGATTAGCTCCATCTGGAGTGGCATTCCAACTGGAGGAAAGCAGATCTAGGGGATCCCTGTTCCAGATTTGGAGAAATGGGGCTGCTTTTGCCTCTCTTGCTCCCTGCGCAGCCCCCGGGACGCCCCCCCCCCCCGGTCTTTGAACAGCGGCAGCATCTATCTTGGATGCGAGCCCGGGCTTCTCCCTGGCAACGGTTGCCGTGGCGACCGCGTCCATAACAACGCGCCCTGCCTCCGCAGCGCCTTATCCGGGGAGCTGCTCCGCCCCGGGGCTGTCCGGCCAAAGGAGGAGGGCGCCGGACCCGGAGGCGGTAGTGGGTGAGTGGGGCTGCTGGGGGGGGGCAGAGTGGGGGGGGGCTTTCTGCACACCCCCTTGGGGGGTTCTGGCGGGGGGAGCAAATCCAAAGTCCTCCCCCCCTCCCCCCTTCTTTGGATCCTCTCTGAGTCTCCCCAAGTTGCAAAGGGAATTTAAACTCCGTTTTCTAAACTCCCCCCCCCCCCCGCCCTTCCCTCCCACCAGGTCTGTGCCAAGTTCTCCCCAACTATCGAAGGCGTGAAGATCTCGGGATGTCAAAGCGAAGTTGGAGCCAGGCGGAAGAGGAGCGAATTAACCAACTTTCAATTTCAGAGTGCCTTGAGTGGGTCTGAGAAAGGTAAGCCCACAATAGTGGGGCGGCCCCAGTTGGCCTTGGGAATCTTGAGAAAAAGAGAGAGAGTGAAAGAGAGAGAGAAACAGAGAGGAGGAGGGGGTGCGGGGAGAGAGAAACAGAGACAGAGAAGGATGGATGGGTGGGTGGGTGGACAGATAGATGACATAGAAGGGTAGATAAATTGATGGTAGATTATAGAGAGAGAGACAAAGACAGATGACACAGAAGAATGGATGGATGGATAGATAGACAGATGGACAGACAGACAGACAGATAGATGAAAGAAATAATGATAGAGATCGAGAGAAAAAGATTAATTGAGATTGACAGACAAAGAGAGGGAGTATATACAGAGAGAAGGATGGATAGAGAGATGAAGGTAGATAATAGATAGAGAGAATGATAGATGATAGAAAGAGAGAGAAGGACAGAAATAGATACCGGTCGATAGAAGATAGATAGATAGATAGATAGATAGATAGATAGATAGATAGATAGATAGATAGATAGATAGATAGATAGATAGATAATACCTATAGATAGAAGATAGATAGATAGATAGATAGATAGATAGATAGATAGATAGATAGATAGATAGATACCTGTAGATGGAAGAGAGAGAGAGAGAGAGAGAGCTGGGGGATGGATGGATAGATAAATAGATGAGAGAGAGAGATAATAGGTAAAAGGATGGACAGAGGGATGAATACTATAATAGAGACTGAAGAATGGATGGATAGATGGATGGATGGATTCAAGAAAACAACCAAGCTCAGAGAGATTCTGGCTGGGGAATTCTGTGAGTTGAAGTTCGCCTTAAAGTTCTTAAGGCTGAAAAAACTACTGCTGTTGCTTTGCCCTATAAATTTGGAGAATTTTTTTTTCTGTAAGAGAAACTAGCTGAAGACCTTTGGACGTCTTAATTTGATTTCCCTTTTCGAAGGTCGCAATGGAGGCTGACGAAGCTGTCAACGAAAACCTAAAAATGCAGTTTAAGGCTCTCCAGGAGCAGCAGCAGAAAAGGATGAAAAATCTGTTGGAGAAGAAAAAGGAAACTCAACAGAGCCTAAAACTGGACAACAAAGAGAATCAAGACAAAGCCTTCGGAATCCCAGACACTCTCAGTTTATCGCTCTTGGCACCCGAGACGTCCGATTCAGACATTGGGACGAAGTAAGGAGGCAACCTGGTTGAATTCACATGACTGGGATTTATGATGCTTTTGGAGGGAAATCAGTATTTCATTCCGGTTTCCTACAAAAAGAAAACTACCCATTGCAATCGCTTAACGACTGCCACAAAAATGTTGTAAAATCAAGTGGCTTGCATGGGTGCCTCAACTTAAAACCTTCATAATGGAAATTCCGGATTCTGTTATGGTAGTAAGTCAAAGACAAAAGTTATTCCTCAACTTACAAACTTTGTTCTAGTGACCTTTCAAAGTTACAATGGTACTGACCAAAGCGACTTAGGACCGTTTTCACACTTATGACTGTTACAGCATCCCTGTGGTCACATAATCCAAAGTTGGATGCTTGGCAACTGGCCTGGATTTATGACGGTTGCACTGTCCCCGGGGGCACGTGATCCCCTTTTGCGACCTTCTGACCAGCAAAGTCAATAGAGAAGCCAGATTCACTTAACAACCATGTGACTGCAGTGGTTTACTTAACAACGGTGGCATGAAAGGTCATAAATTGGGGCAAGACTCCTTTAACAACTGTTTCACTTAGAAATGGATGTTTAGGGCTCAGTTGTGGTCGTAAGTTAAGGATTAATTAAAGGGGAAGAAATGCAGAATTCTATGCCACCCATATTCCTTCATTTCTTTTTTCTGATCCTCGGCCCTTCCACTCTGGGGATGGACTGCAACCACAGACTAGATCAAGCTGCCTGTTTCTCTTCTAGATTGCTGGAAACTGAAAATGAGCAGCTGCAGAACCAACTCCGGGAGCTGGTGGATGAGAACGGTCGGCTGTACAAACTCTTGAAGGAAAGAGATTTAGAAATAAAGCAACTTCACAAGAAGATTGAGGAGGAACGGATGGCTCTACTGGGTGAGCAAAAAACTGGATTAAATTAATTTTTTTTCCCATGATTGCTTCTGCAATTCTCTTTTTCCTGGAGATTATGGTACAGACCACCAAGTCTCCCAGAATACTTGCTTGCTTTTCTTTCTTTCTTTCTTTCTTCCTTCCTTCCTTCCTTCCTTCCTTCCTTCCTTCCTTCCTTCCTTCCTTCCTTCCTTCTTTCTTTCTTTCTTTCTTTCTTTCTTTCTTTCTTCCTTTCTTTCTTTCTTTCTTTCTCTCTTTCTTTCTTTCTCTCTCTCTCCCTCCCTCCCTATTTCCTTCCTTCCTTCTTTCTTTCTTTCTTTCTCTCTCTCTCTCTCCCTCCCTCTTTCTTTCTTTCTTTCTTTCTTTCTTTCTTTCTTTCTTTCTTTCTTTCTTTCTTTCTTTCTCTCTCCCTCTCCCTCCCTCCCTCTCTCTCTCTCTCTCTTTATTTCAAGGACCTTAGTAGGAAACGGTTTTAGAAACTTCATCAAAGTGTAGATTGCTCCAGCAAAATGTTAGATTTGATTTTTCCTGGTGTGAAGGAGAGCAATGATCACAGAAGGTGGGAAACTGAGCCAGTTTAGTATGGAAGTGAAGGTGCTGGCCTGGAAACCAGGGGATGCTGAATTCTAGTTCCACCTTAGTCATGAAAGCTGGCTGGGTGAATTTGGGCCAATCACTCTCTCTCAGTCCAGCCCACTTCACAGGGTTGTTGTTATGAAAAAAAATAGGAGGAACAAGGAGTATGTATGTTTGCCACCATGAGTTACTTAAAAAAGTAATACAGGTGGGATAAAACTAATAAATAAATAATACATATATAAATTGCATTCTCCTCTTCGTCCTCTTCTCTGCAAATCCCACTCCCTTCTGGCACTGACGATGTTTCCTAGTTGGGTCATGAAATGTCTGTGAGAAAATAACAAAGCTCAAGAGAGCACGGAGGATCCCTCAATTCAACCCTGAACTATAAATATATCTCTGGAGACCCCCGTTTCCTTCTTTTCAGCTACCATTTCCTTTTTCTTTCTTCTTTTTTTTTTTTAATTTTAGGGACTGCTGGTTTACCAGGGGATGTCGCAGCTTCTAAAATTGTGGAACTGGCCAAGCAGAACCGGCACGTGACAGCTGAGATGGAAAGGGAGAAAACCAGAACAAAGCAGCTGAACAACCGGATCAAACTACTGGAAAAAGATGTGAGGCTTCACTCTGTTAGCATAAGACTCTGATAATGTCATGGCTTAAGGCTGGGTGACTTTAGGCCAATCACCAGGAGACTGGGAGTTCTAGTCCCTTTTAGGCACGAAAGCCAGTTGAGTTGGGACCAACACACCTCACAAGGTTGTTGTTGCAGGGAGGATAATAGGAGGAAGGGTGTTAAGTATGTTCACCACCTTGAGTTAACATCCATCCATGTATCGAAAAAAGTGTGATAAAAACATCTAATAATAATAACAATCACTAAGCAAATTACCCCAACCCTTTAAAAATAGCTTTATTAAGTTTCAGAAAAACAATAAAACACAAATTTACATAAAGGCAAAGGAAATAAACAGGAAAAGTTAAAAAGTGACAAAAATATACTTTATTTATTTGTTCATCTATTTAAATCAAATTTATTTGGTATTCATCTCTTAGTTTAGGCTCTAAATATAAATTACTTATCTCTAAAAATGTTTTACCTACCTATCTATCATCTATCTATCTATCTATCTATCTATCTATCTATCTATCTATCTATCTATCTCTACTTCTATCATCTATCATCTCTATCTATCTACTGGTGTCTGTCTGTCTGTCTGTCTGTCTGTCTGTCTGTCTGTCTGTCTTTATTTATTTATTTATTTATTTATTTATTTATTTATTTATTTATTTATTTGTCAAGCATATGTTGTTACAGTGGGCTTTGGCACTTAGATCTTTAGAAATGAGTACTCCAAGGTCCTTGACCGAGTGAGAGTCATCTACAAGGTCATGTCCATCTAATTTGTATTTTATGTTTTTATGTTGTTGTTTTTTTTGCCAATGTGCAAGACAGAGCATTTGTTGGTTGAGATTTGAAGTTGCCACTTGACACATAGTCAATGTCTTTTTGAAGGGTAGTTGCATTGTCAGTGGTGTTGAATAGTTTAACATCATCAGCAAAGAGAACACAGTTGCTTTTAATATGATTGCAAAGGTCATTTATGTAAAGTATATCTCCCATCATTATTTTTATAAATAATTCAAGGTGGCAAACATATCCTTTCTCCTCCTATTTTCCCCACAACAATAACCTTGTAAGGTGGCTGATCTAAGAGAGAGAGTGATTGATCCATTGAGCCGATTTTGATGCTTAAGACGGGAGTAGAACTCATTGCCTCCTGTTTTCTAGTCTGGATTAGATTAAATTAAGGAAATTATATTGATACCTTAAAAACCTCTAAAACATTAGCAAAATATATATATGGAAAAAAATATTCTTAGTTTAACTTTAATCTAACCAATAAAAACATACTAACTATGAGCAAATCGTAACCATGTACCGTAGTTGACAATCTACAATATTTTGGTTTATGACCACAATTGAGCCCAAAATTTCCGTTGCTAAGCAAGACAGTTGTTAAGTGGGTTTTGCTCTAGTTTTTCGCCACAGCTGTTAAGTGAATCACTGCAGTTGTTAAGTTAGCAAAGGGGTTGTTGAGTGAATGTGGGTTCCCCCATTGACTTTGCTTGTCAGAAGGTCGCAAAAGGGGATCACATGACCCCGGGACACTGCGACCGTCATAAATATGAATCAGTTCCCCAGCATTTGAATTTTGATCACATGGCCATGGGGATACTGCAATGGTCATAAGTGTTAAAAAATCATCATAAATCCTTTTTTTCAGTGCCATTGTGACTTCAAACAGTCACTAAATGAATGGTTATAAGTCGAGGACTACATGTAGTGGTGTCCAAGCAGCAAGAAATCAAATTACCCTAATCTTTTTGCTTTGCAATTGTGAGCCCAATCAACAGTTGTTTCTAAAAGAGATTTCCACCCCTGTTTTAAGATTTTATCTTCGTGACAATTGCTTCATTTTAGTTCTGCTGGGGTTAGTTGGAGGCGGGTGGTTCGGAGAACCGGTAGCAAAATGCTTTTAAAAGTAAAAAAAAAAAAAAAGGCTCTGATGATCGCACAGCTCAGCTGGGATCATCAGAGGCTTTTAAAAGCATTTTTTCTACAACCTCTTCAGCTGAAGAGGTTATAGAAAAAAATGTTTTTAAAAGGAAAAAAAGCCTCTGCCGATCAGGCAAGTCAGCTGGGATCGTCAGAGGCTTTAAAAGCATTTTTTACAACCTCTTCAGCCGATGGTTTTAAAAGTAAAAAAAAAAAAAAGTTGGACACGCCCACTCAGTCATATTACCCCCCCAAGCCACGCCCACAGAACCGGTAGTAACAAATTTTACATTTCATCACTGCTTTATTTCCTATCTGAGCAGGAGGGTTGAGCTAGATGACCTCCAAGGTCCATTCCAACTCTGTTATTCTGTAGTCTGCCTCTCTTCATTTAGCAGTTTGTACATAGCTATATGTGTCTGATTTTTCCAGCTGCAAATGTCAACTTGCAAGTTGCAATCACACGGTGACAGCCCAGCTTCCCGCAAAAAGTCAGACAGCACTATGGTAAGAGTTAAACTCCATAAAATTGTTCTTCTAAGATACATTTTCTCAGTTTAGCTTTTCTGGTTTGCAGATCCTCCTCTGTTTATCTTTCATGGAATGACTGTGTTTAATTGATCGAATTTTTTTAAAATACAGTCATTTCCATCATTTTTCATTCATGTTTCCTTTTAACTTTCATTTTTAATTTTTACTTTTTCGGGGCTGCTCTTTTACCCTTTAACTTTACTCCAACCTTTCTTCTTCTCCTCCCCTTCTCTTCCTTCCTCTCTCTCCTCCTCCTTCCTTCGTTCTTTCTCTCCTTCTCCTTCCTACTTCCCCTTCTCTTCCCCCACTCCTTTCTTCTTCCCCCCTTCTAACCTTCTCCTCTACTCCTCTTTCCCCTCCCTCTTCTTCCTCTCCTTTTCCCTTTCTTCTTTCTCCTCTCCTCTTCTCTCCTCTCTTCTCCCTTCCTCTCTCTCTACTCCTTCCCCTCTCTCTCCTGTTGTTTCCCTTTTCAGTTCAATCAGTGGTATTCGAGCAGCCCCGATTTTCTAATTATCTTTATTCTCATTTCAATTTTTTATTCAATTATTATTTATTTTTATTTCATCATTTGCGTACATTTTTATAATATCTCATTTTTTTCCTCTATTATCCCCCCTCCCCTTTCTCCTTTTACTTGATCGAATTGATCGAATTGTTAATTCTTTCATAGTACGAAACGGTGAAGGGGGCTTGAGGAGACAAACTGTTTTTTCAATATAAGTTTTATTAAAAGTTTTAGAAAGAACAAAGGAGGAGGGGGAGAGGGAGGAGAAGGAGGAGGTCCCTGGTGCTTTCTGAGCTTGGTTGGTTTATTGCAGGTGTTTCATGACCCAACTAGATAACAGCATCAGTATTTATTTATTTAGTGTATGGCAAATACATGGACTTATAGTAGTTCAAATTTTAATGTCCAGTCCACCCAGCCATTCAAGGACAGGGTGGTCTATGTTGAACATTGGGCTGGTGTAAGCTCTTGATGGACATTTGGACACAATTTGGTGGATATTTTGTCGAAGAACACCACAGTCACACTGAGGGGTAGAGACAAGACTTAAACAATAAGTCCTGGCTGTTGTGGCCTGCCAACGACCAGCAGAGCTGGCAGCAGATCCGGACATTGAGGTGGTTGGGGAGGAACATGGGTCAGTCCTAGAGTCTGGAGAAGGCTCGGACGAGGGCTCTGAGTTGGAGGCAGAGAGGGGGCCAAGGCCATCTGGTAGTTCTTTACTGCCTCTGGAGCCTCCGGAGTCTGACATCAGCGAGGCAGAAGAACAGTGTGAGCTGTTCCCAGCGTGCGAATGTTTAGAGCTGCCAGGAGACAGGAACAATTAAGGAAACAGGGTCAACTTGGGAGTAAGGCTTGGAGATGATTGGCTCCTCCCATAAGACATAAAAGAGAAGCAAACAGGATGTGAGCTTTTTCAGGAAGCAATTAGTTCATCTGGCCGATTCAAGATTTGAAACTTCTGTTTGTGACTCTGTGCCAAGTTTGGCCTTGCCCTGCGTCTGGAAATTAGCTCTTCGGCAGCATTCCACGTGAGATAGGTGGGTGTTGATAACCTTCCTGTAAAAGACTTTTTATCAAGCCTTGCGGAATGTAAATGAAAATAATCTATAGTTGTATGAAGTAAAGAGGGGGACTACGTTTGTGCTGTTTAATTTCCAAGGAGGCCTAGGTCAGAACACTGGCAGACACCATGGTGGGCATGGATCCTGTTCAGAGTTGACCAAAAGGTTGAAACCTAGGTCTGAAGTAATATCCATTTTGTTTATCCATTGCTATGTATTTAGAGAGCCAGGAATTCTACAAAAATGTCTGGCTGCCAACTGTCCTTAACTGCCAATTCTTCAATGTGGTTTGCCTGCCAGCTGTTGCTAGTCCTTTGGTTCTGTTAAGGAATTCGCGGAGTAACCCTTGAATAGCAAGGGTGTGCACATGAAAGCGATTGAGAGTAGGTACGAATAAAACACAGTCAACACACAGATACACTGAGTTGTGTTTACTTTCAGGAAATAGTAAGGTACAGTCCAATAAATAGTCCAGGTCATACACATATAAAGCAGGAGACAGCAAAACGACAGTCCAGGGATAATCCAATAACAAAGTCTTCTTACCAGTCGTCGTAGTCATTCACAATAAACAGTTCTTCTGGATTTGCAAACAGTAGCATATAGAGATATCAGAGAGCAAGAACAGCAAAGAGAAACAAACCATGTTTCTAGCTCCCTCTTAAGGAGATTGGCTACAGAGCTAACCAATCAGGACACAGTATGATGCAATACAGCAGTCTTAAAGCTACAGTGATGATTTATATATTGCCAATTCAACAAGGTAGGTAATACTCATTTCCTAACAGGTTCACACTACCATGCTATCCAGGGTGCACCACAAGGAGGCGAACTAGTATCACACCCCACATCATCAGTGCTAGAAGGGAACGGGGTTTACAGAGAGAAGGAGGAAGAGGAGGAGGAAGACTGTGGGGTCCCTGCATGCTCTCTGAGCTTAGTGGCTTTCTTACAGACCTTTCTATTAGCCAACTAGGTAATGCCATCAGTGTGAAATGGCTCGCAAAGCGCAGAGTTGGATTCCTTTAGCTATTTGGGTGAGGTGATGCCACTCTTTAGGCTCTCTTAGTTCCCTTGAAAATTGTGCTGGTAACTGAAGTCTGCCTTTTGCTTTTCCTGTGCTTTCTCTTCTTCTCCGGCAACACGGCAATTGTCTAAAAGAGTCCAGAAATGAAAGCGCTGCACGAAAAATTGTCTGCTGTGAATCTCAAAGCATCTGAATATCGCAACCAACTACAGTCCACAAAGCAGGAACTTAAGATGACGCAAAAGGTAGGGTTTGTGTGCTTGCGTGTGTATGTGTGCGTGTGTGAGATATGGGCAAGAGTTTTGCTGTGTATTTCGCGGTGCCCTCAAAACCTTGTTATTCCGCCAAGCCGGGCTATCAATGTAAAGATTTTAATTGGTTTTTAATTGGTTTTAAATACAGGATTTTAAATTTGGGGTTTTATAATTGAGCCTATTATTTAATAATTTTAATTATTTTTAAATTTTGTTTGTCTTTGTGCTTTTAATCAGGCTGTACATCTCCCTGAGTCCTTTGGGAGAAGGGCGGTATAGAAATAAAATAAATAAATAAATAAATAAGAGTGGCCGAGGGGGCAGGATAATTTTCATTCCCCATTAACATTATATTAATTTCCAATTTGCTTGGCCAGAAGGAGATTAAATACATCTAGTCCTCAACTTGCAACCACAATTGGGACCAGAACATACATTGCTAAGTGAGATGGTTGTTAAGTGGGTTGCATAGTTATTTAGCAAATTCCTGCCATTGTTAAATGAACCCTGAGGTCATAAAGTGAATCAAGCTTTCCTCTTATTAGCTTTGCCTGTCAGACGCTATCAATGAAGGTCGCAAATCAGGATCACGTGACTCGGCATACATCATAAGTACAGGTCGTCCTTGGCTTACGACCGTAATTGAGGCCAGAATTATGGTCGTCAGTCATTCTGGTTAAGCAAGTGACCATGCCTGATTCTGTGACATATTTTTTTTGGGCTGTCATTAAGCGAACTCTTTTTATCCAAAGGGTGCTTTTTCGTGCTGGAAATACATATAGTTCTTGATTTCATTTAGTTCATTTAGTGGCCGTTTGAAGTTACAAGGGCACTGAAAAAAATTGATTTACGACTGTTTTTCACACTTGTGGCCTCTGCGGCATCACGTGATTTACATTCAAGATACTTACAACCACGACCGAGCCCAAAAACTACGTTGCTAAGTGAGAAATTTGTTAAGCGAGTTTCGACCTTTCATGCCACAGTTCTTCTGTAACGCAAATTCTTTTGCACTGACCTCTCGTTACTCTTCACCACGAGATGTCATTCGATCTTGCTTCCCACTTTGCTGGCTGTCAGGACTTCGGAGGCCACCTTTGAAAAATGTCAGCCTCTCGGTGGCTGGGCTCAGCGGGGTTTCTCTCCATCGCGCTGGCGATCGCTTATTGCCAAACTGCTCCTTGAGTATCCCCACTCCAACACGCTTCCCTTCGGGCTTCGTGTATCCTTTCAGGATCGCTCCAGCGCCAGAAAAAAGGGGCAAAGAACAGAGCCAGCTCCTCAACCCCTCTCTTTGTCCAAACAACACCAACTGGAAGTCCCATGCCACAGTTCTTAAGTGGCTCACTGCAGTTGTTAAATTAGTCACACGGTTGTTAAGTGAACCTGAGATACAGGCAGTCCTTGATTTAGGACCATAATTGAGTCTGGAATTATACTTGTAAAGTGTACCGGTCGTTAAACCGATCACCCAATGAGCATGCCCGATTTTTTTTTTTGCCCTGGACGTAAAGTGAACATGACATTAATTGAACATTGTGGTTGTTAAGTGAATCCATTGTCTGCAGTGGGTGGGGGGTTTTTTTTGCTAGAAATCTGAAGTAAATACAGGTAATCCTCAACTTACAACCACAATTGAGCCCAACATTTCCGTGGTTAAGGGAGACAGTTGTTAAGTGGATTACGCTCCATTTTGACGCCCTTTCTTACCACAGTTGTTAAGTGAATCACTGCAGTTGTTCAGTTAGTCACCTGGTCGTTAAGCGAATGTGGCTTCCCCATTGATGTTGCTTGTCGGAAGGTCGCAAAATGGGGTCACGTGACCCAGGGACACTGCAACAGTCATAAGTACAAGCCAGCTTCTAAGCATCTGAATTGATCACGTGACTATGAGGGACCCTGCAACGGTTATGCGAAAAATGATCACTTTTTTTCAGTGCTGTTGTAAGTTCAAACAGTCACTAAACAAATGGTTGCAAATTGAGAACTATCTTATTAGTATATTAGTTATTAGTATCCAATGACTATATTAGTTTATTAGTATCCTATGACTATCACTAAGTGTTGTATCTTATGATTCTTGGTGAATATACTTTATTTTTCCTTTATGTACACTAAGAGCATATGCACCACTTGGCCAATAAAGAATTATATTCTATTCCAAAGGAAATACAAGAAAAAGAGGAAACAGAATATTATATAGTGTGGGAAAAATGGTATGAATGGTTAGAGGAGAGAGATAAAAGGCGAGGAAAGAGCAAATGAGGAAGGTATAGGAGTGGAAATGCAACAACAAATAAGAGGAAACAAAAAGATGCAGATTGTAGAAATGAAACTGTTATTTATATGTATATATGTACTGTAAATAAATCAATATTAGAATTATAAAGGATAAATTGAAATAAGGGCAAAAAAATGGATAAGTAATGTCTACCAATGTGAAATTGTTGAAAAGAAAAAATTGTAAAAGATTATTTTTTGTTTTCAAAAAAATAACAAAACTATTTAATAAAAAAATTTTTTTTTAAAAAGAATTCTATTCTATTCTATTATCTGTAAATAATTACACTTAATAAATAAATTGATAAATAAATCAACAAATGTTTCTGAAAAATAATAAATTGTGTTTGCCAAGACTGCGGGATGTTGCCGATAAAAATGTGATCAGGGGACCATAGGGTCAGCTGTCAGAAATCCGGGTCGTAAATAGCCCTGGAGAGGCGAATTGTGATCTTGAATGGATACTAAGCGAGTAGTTGTAAGTCGAGGAACTTCCTGTATTCCTGCTTGGCTAAAGGACTTTTATGCAAAGCATTTTCGACACTGATTTCGTCCTGTTTTGCTTTTTTCCGCTTTCAGCTTCTCACCCACGAAGTGGGCGAAGACGTCAATATACAAAACCTTTTGTCCAATCCTGGCAGCTGGCGAGGACGGGCTCAGCAAATCCTTGTCCTGCAAGGCAGAGTGAGTCCATCTTTCCAAGCGTATTTCGCTTCACAGGTTCTGCGAACAACGGTTGGCTTAACCCTAACCTCATCGACTTCAAGCTGCGTGGACTTCAACTCCCAAATTCCTCAGGCAGCCTAGCTGGAACTATAGCTGTTTGACATGAGTTGCTCAGCCATGGATGAGACCGCAGTGGCTGGCTTTGCTTGTTGCACCATAAAAAACCACATCATAAGAGGATGTGTGAACCAGGCTGAAATATTTATTAGATATTTTAGCCCGCCTTTATTAATTTGTAAGTAACTCAAGGCAGCAAGAGCATATCTAATATTCCTTTCTTTCCTATTTTTCCCACAATTAAAAACAACCTTGTGAGGTGGAGTGGGTTGAGAGAGTGGGAAAGTCACCCAGCCAGCTTTCATGCCTAAGGCGGGATTAGAACTCTCTCTCTCCTGGTAATTGGCCTAAAGACACCCAGCCAACTTTCAGGCCTAAAGTGGGACTAGAACTCACTGTCTCCTGGTGATTGGCCCAAAATTACCCAGTAACTTTCATGCCTAAAGTGGGACTAGAACTCATAGCCTTCTGGAAATTGGCCTGTCACTAGCCAGTTTTCGTGCCTAAAGCAGGATTAGAACTCCCCATCTCCTGGTGATTGGTCCAAAGTCACCCAGTTGGCTTTCATGCCTAAAGTAGGACTAGAACTCACTGTTTCCCCGAGGATTGGCAGGAAGGAAAATTTTCAAACCTTATTAACTAGGATTGTTGGATAACCCAATGCAGGTTTCTATATCCTTTAACCTCCTCCTAATGAAAAAGAATTTGTACCCTATAAATCAGTTTTAGGCCTTCTGTATCCTGCTTATGTAGGTGCGGGACTTAGAAACCCAACTGAATTGTCACAAAAGAAAATTATCCGAGAATGATACCAGCGAAGACCTGCTGAGCTTCACCGACCCCAGGAAGTCCTCAGCCCAAGTCAAGAACCAGCTGCGGATTCGAACTTTGGAAAGGGAGAAGAAAGAAGCATTGGAAGTAAGGAATTATTTTTGCATGAATCTAATAATTCTGAAATATCTAACAAGTTTCCTGATCCATTGGTAGGTACTCATCCATCCATAGATTCAGTGGGCAGAGAGAATGGGTTCAAATTTCCTAATCCTAATCCTAATCCTAGCCCTAAATTTAGCCATAACTTTAACCCTAGCTGTAACCCTAACTTTATACCTTAACTTTTAACCCTAACCATAATTCTAACCTAGCCCTGACCCTAATCCTAACCCTTAACCCTTAACCCTAACTCTAACCGTAGCCTTAATCTTTAACCTTAACTTTAGCCCTAATCTTAATTCTAACATTTAACCCTAACCCCAACCTAGCCTAATCCTAACCTTAACCCTAACCATAATATATCCTAACCTTTTAACTGTAACTCTAACCCTAATCTTAGCCCTAACACTAACCTCTAACCCTAACACTAATCATAATTCAAACTGAACTCTAACCCTAACTCTTAACCCTAATATTTAACCCTAATTGTAACCCTAAAATATTTAACCCTAATTTAACCCTAAACTAGCTCTAACCCTATCCCCAACGCTAACACTAACCTTTAATGCTAATCCCAGCCCTAACTATAACCCTAATTCAACCCTAACCCTAATGTTTATCCCTAATCTTTAACCCTAATCCTAACTCTAACCTAACCCTAACCCTAACCTATATGAAAGTGATTACTTTCTGGGGTTTACATTCCCACGATGCAACCTTGAGACTCCTCTGTGCAACCATATTTTTCAATCAAAAGCTGTTAGCAACTGATGGGGACCAGACAGGCAAAGGACTTGTCTGGATAAATTATGTGTCAGGGGTGGGTTCTAAATTTTTTTACTACAGGTTCTGTGGGTGTGGCTTATTTTGTGGGCGTGGCTTGATGGTCATGTGACAATTCTTTAGGATTTAGCAGAGGTACTGGTCTACCAGGCTTTTAACTGCTTGCAGAGCTGTACCGGTCTACTCATTTATTTTTGCAGGCACCGGTCTACCCATTTGTTTTTTGGAGGTACTGGTCTACCCATATGTTTTTGCAGACACTGGTCTACCCATTTATTTGTGCAGGCACCGGTCTACTCATTTGTTTTTGGAGGCACCGGTCTACCACCACACTGCCTTTTAACACTGATCAGCTGTAGGGCGGCCCTTTGAAGCCCCATGGCAAGAGTTTAAACAGTTTTTTTCCCTTCTAGCTGATCAGCTGGGACTCAGGAGGCAGCAATAGGTTGGGGGTGGGGCCAAATAAAAGGTAAGAATAACGCGGGAGGGGGGCAGGGGGGCAGAACCGGTTCGGTGACACCATATCGTCACCGCTACCGGCTCAGCGGAACCGGGAGGAACCCACCACTATTATGTATATATATACCTCACCCCATTCCTAAGAGGTCTGTAAGGGGTGTGCATAAGAGCACCACCCTGTCCTAATGTTTCCTCTATTTGTATCTATTTTGTGTATCCAATCTATGTTTATAATTATTACCTAATACATTCTTGACAAATAAATAAATAAATCAATATTTTATTTTATTTATTTGTCAAACGTACAAAGTAACAGGTATAAGTATAAACATGGACATGAACATAGGAAATCAGTACAAATAAATGGGGACAGTAGGACAGGGACGGAAGGCACGCTTGTGCCCTTATGCATGCCCCCTTTACAGACCTCTTAGGAATGGGGTGAGGTCCACAGTAGACAGTTTAAGGTTGAAATTTTGGGGGTCTGAAGATGTAACAACGGAGTCAGGTAGTGCATTCCAGGCATTGACCACTCTGTTGCTGAAGTCATATTTTCTGCAATCGAGTTTGGAGCAGTTTACCTTGAGTTTGTATTTATTGTTTGCCCCGTGTATTATTGAGGTTGAAGGTGAAGTAGTCATTGACAGGTAGGACATTGTAGCAGACAATTTTGTGTACTATGCTTAGATCAGACCATAGGCGGTGTAGTTCCAGGTTGTCCAGGCCCAAAATTTCAAGCCTGCTGGCGTAAGGGATTCTATTGTGAGTAGAGGAGTGGAGGGCTCTTTTCGTGAAATACCTCTGGACCTGCTCAATCGTATTAATGTCTGATATACAGTGTGGATTCCAGGCAGACGAGCTGTATTCGAGAATTGGTCTGGCAAAGGTTTTGTATGCCCTAGTTAACAGTACAATGTTACCAGAGAAGAAGCTTCGCAAAATCAGGTTAACAATTCTTAATGCCTTTTTGGCAATGCTGTTATAGTGATCTCTGGGGCTGAGATCTCTTGAGATGAGTACTCCTAGGTCCTTGACAGAGTGAGTGAGGATCATTTGTGAGGTCATATCTGCCCAGCTTGTATTTGATGTTCTGATTTTTGTTGCCAATGTGTAAGACAGAGCATTTGTTAGTTGAGATTTGGAGTTGCCAATTGAATTCCCCACCCTCCTCTTCCCAGCTAGGATGGATGTCCTACCAAGGGTGGTTTGGTCCAAAGAGAAATGCAGAGTTGAGAAATGCAGAGTTGAGAATTAGAGAGTCTTAAGAAGGTGGAATCAGTCCTTCATCTAAGTTCGGAAGGCACTGTAGGCCATCACAAAAATAATTTCCGGGTCCTTTGATCCTCAGTCTTAGCGTCCCCTTCTTCTCTTTCTTGATGGCAGAAGCTCATGAGCCAGTACCAAGTCCTTCAGAAGGATCACGAGGACGTGAAGAAGAAGCTGGAGGGGTCCAAAGCCAGGAACAAGGTCTTGTCCAACGAGGTGAAGACCCTGAAGGACCAAATTTCCACCCTGATGGAGAAGGGGAAGCACGACAACGAACTCGTGGATGCTCTCGTGGTACGATTTGGTTGAGAGGCTCAGGCCTGGCTGGTACAGGTAGTCCTAGACTTACAACGGCAAATTGAAACCCAAATTTAAATGAGAAATTTGTTGAGCTTGAGCTTGACATTTCTTGCCACAGTTGTTAAGTGAATCACTGCGGTTGTTAAGTTAGTAGCCCGGTTGTTAAGTGAATCTGGCTTCCCCATAGATTTTGTTTGTCAGAAGGTCACAAAAGAGGATCACGTGACCCCAGGAGACTGCGACTGTTATAATTATGAGTCAGTGGCCTAGCATCTGAATTTTGATCTCGTGACGCGACGGTCCTAACTGTGGAAAACGGTCTTATGTCAACTTTTTCAGGGCCATTGTAACTTTGTACGGTCATTAAAGAAACTGTTGTAAGTTGAGGACTACCTGTATTCACGGCGACATCAACGTGAACTTGTAGGGCCCGATCTTCTGCAAAGTCTCGGTCAAGTGGTTCCCGACCCATAATTTCCCCAAATTTCCAATCGGTTGTGGGAGACTGGACCATGTTTAGATTTGTAGTTAAAAATTGTGGAGAATAGGTGCGGCTTCCTCTAGACCCGTGATGGTGAATCTATGGCACATGTGCTGGAAGTGGCACACAGAGCCATCTCTCCAGGCACGCTAGCTGTCACCCATTACTCTTCCGAGTTCCAGTGCATGCATGTGCGCCGGCCAGCTGGTCTTCATGCGTGCGGGAGTGCTGGAAACTGGAAGAGCAGCTCCCCAGCGCTCATGTCTGTGCCGGGAAGCTGAGCTTCTGGTTTCCAGTGTGTGCATGCGTGCCAGCCAGCTGGTCTTCATGTGCGTACATGCACCAGAAACTGGAAGACCAGGTGGCCGGCACAAATGCGCATGCCAGAAACCAGAAGCTCAGCTTTCTGGCACGCGCGTGCACACCAGGGAGCTGCTCTTCTGGTTTCCTCGTGTCTGCACGTGTGCTCCTGTTTTGGCACATGGTGCTGAAAAGATTCACCAACACTGCTCTAGACAGCTGTTTCTCAACCTTAGAGATTTGGGATGTGTGAACTTCCAATTCTCAGAATTCCCCAGCTTGCCTTCAGAATTGTGGGAGCTTCATCACTGGAAGCTTTCAACAAGAGACTGGATTGCCATCTGTCAGAAATGGTGTAGGGTCTCCTGCTTGGGCGGGGGGTTGGACTAGATGACCTATAAGGTCCCTTCCAACTCTGTTATTCTGTCTGTCTGACTTCAACTCCCAGAATTCTCCAGCCGGCATGCATAGAGTTCACTTCCCAGAACTCCCCAGCTGACATCTGTGGGCTTCATCTCCCAGAATTCCTCATCCGGCACGCACAGACTTCAAATCGCAGAATCGTTGAGTAAACAAATAAAATTAATAAAATAAGATTCCCGGAATTCCCTAGCTGTTATGTGTGAACCTTCAACTCCCAGAATGTCCCAGCCATCATACTGGTTGTGCAATTCTGGGGTTGAAAAATCGACGCATGCTGGATGGGGAATTCTGGGAGTTGAAGTCTATTCATGTTGGTTGAGGAATTCTGGGAGTTGAAGTCCACAGATCTTCAAATTGTTGACATTGAGAAATGATGTCTAGACCAGTGTTTCTCAACCTTGGTAGCTTGAAGATGGGTGGACTTCAACTCCCAGAATCCCCCAGCCAGCGCTGCTGGCTGGGGGATTCTGGGAGTTGAAGTACACCCATCTTCAAGCTTCCAAAGTTGAGAAACACTGGCCTAGACTAAGTGAGGTCAAGGCAAAAATTTCATGTCCTGTTGTGTCATGTCACATTCAAAATTAGGAAGGATCTGCCCCAAAAGAAAATTACAAACTGGTTCTAACGTTCTGACAGCTGCCACTCATGTCACATGTCCTCAGATGTCGGGTACTCAGCCGTTGCCTCATGTTTACGACTGTTTGGAGCCTCATGACGTTTCTGTCATCCCTCAGCAAATAATGGGTTTGTTTTACGACTGTAGCATTCGCTTAATGACTGTTACAAAAAAAAAAGTTTGTAAAAACAGGTCCAGTCAGTAAATATTGTGACCTGCTTTTCCACCGTCACAATTTATGATGGTAATGGGGAGGCTCCATTACAGTCATAAATCGAGGACCACCTGTAATCCCTATCTAAAAGGTATACTTTTTTTAATTCATTGCTTTTCTCCAACGGTCGCAAAGTGAGTCTCATAAAACATAGACTCCTAGGGCTGGAAGGGATCTTGGAGGTCTTCTAGTCCAACCCCTTGCTCAAGATAGGAGATTTTTTATCATCCTGGTAAAATGATTGTCCAGTGATTGACCCACAATTGTGGGAGGCAAGCAATTCCACTGATTGCAGGGTAGTCCTCAACTTACAACAGTTCATTTAGTGACCATTCAAAGTTTACAACAGCATTGAAAAATGGGACTTACAACCAGGGGTGAAAATGCTCCCGGTTCGGACCGGATCGCCCGATCCGGTAGCGATGGCGGAGGGTGATTCGGAGAACCGGTAGCAAAATTCCCTGCGCTCCCCTCCACCATGCCCAGCTGAGCTGCACAATCATCAGAGGCTTTTTTAAAAAAAACTTTTAAAAGCATTTTTTCTACAACCTCTTCCGAAGAAAAAATGCTTTTAAAAGTTTTTTTAAAAAAAGCCTCTGATGATCGCGCTGCTCAGCTGGGATCCTCAGAGGCTTTTCAAAGCATTTTTCCTGCAACCTCTTGGCTGAAGAGGTGGTTAAAAAAATGCTTTGAGAAGTCTCTGACGATCCCAGCTGAGTTGCCTGATCGACAGAGAGGCTTTTCAAAGCATTAGAAAAAATGCTTTAAAAAGTTAAAAAAAAAAAAAGTTGGCCACGCCCACCCAGTCACATTACCCCCCCAAGCCACGCCCACAGAACCGGTGGTAACACATTTTACATTTCACCCCTGCTTACGACCATTTTTCACACTTACAACCATTACAGCATCCCCATGGTCATGTGATCAAAATTCAGATGTTTGGCAACCAACTCATATTTATTTATTTATTTGTTTAAATTTCTATACCGCCCTTCTCCAAATAGGACTCAGGGCGGTGCACAGCCTAAGTAAAAACAAAGCATACAAAATTTAAAAAACAGTATTAAAATAATTAAATATTCTGGCCGTAAATTAAAACAACCCAATTTAAAATCAATTTAAAATTTAGCTCAAGCCAGCCCAGCTAGTTGAAATAAATAAGTTTTCAGGGCCCGACGAAAAATCCGGAGGTCTGTTATTATACGTAACTCTGGGGGAAGGTTATTCCAGAGGGTGGGCGCCGTCACAGAGAAGGCTCTCCCCCTGGGGGTCGCCAGCCGACATTGTCTGGCGGACGGCACCCTGAGGAGGCCCACTCTGTGCGAGCGTACTGGCCGGTGGGAGGCTATTGGTGGCAGTAGGCGGTCTCGTAAGTACCCCGGCCCTAAGCCATGGAGCGCTTTAAAGGTGGTCACCAACACCTTGAAGCGCACCCGGAAGACCACCGGGAGCCAGTGCAGCTCGCGCAGGAGAGGTGTCACATGGGAGCGCCTCGTCGCCCCCATAATCCCCCACGCGGCCGCGTTCTGGACCAGCTGGAGCCTCCGGGTGCACCCCAGGGGAAGCCCCATGTAGAGAGCGTTGCAGTAGTCCAGGCGGGAAGTGACTAGTGCCTGAGTGACTGTGCGTAGAGAGTCCCGATCTAGAAAGGGGCGCAACTGGCATATCAGGCGAACCTGATAAAAAGCTCCCCTGGCCACGGCCGTCAAATGATCTTCTAATGACAGCCGTGCATCCAGGAGGACGCCCAAGTTGCAAGCCCTCTCGGTGGGGGCGAGTGATTCGCCCCCAATAGCCAGCAATGGTGTCAGCTGGCTATATCGGGACGCTGGAAGCCACAGCCACTCGGTCTTGGAGGGGTTGAGTCGGAGCCTGTTTCTCCCCATCCAGGCCCGCACGGCCTCCAGGCACTGGGACATCACTTCAAGGGCATCGTTGGGGTGGCCTGGGGTGGAGATGTACAGCTGGGTGTCATCAGCGTACTGATGGAACTCCACCCCGAAGCCACGGATGATCTCACCCAGCGGCTTTACATAAATGTTGAACAGAAGGGGCGAGAGGACCGACCCTTGTGGCACCCCACAAGCAAGGTGCCTCGGGGTCGACCGCTGCCCCCCCGTCAACACAGATTGCGACCGGTCAGAGAGGTAGGAGGAGAACCACCGCAGAACGGTGCCCCCCACCCCCAACCCCGCTAACCGGTGCAACATGATACCATGGTCGATGGTATCAAAAGCCGCTGAGAGGTCTAACAGGACCAGGATAGAGGAGCAACCCCTATCCCGAGCCCTCCAGAGATCATCCACCAACGCGACCAATGCCGTTTCCGTGCTGTGCCCAGGCCGGAAGCCGGACTGGAACGGGTCCAGATAGACAGTTTCATCCAGGTACCGGGGAAGCTGTTGCGCTACCACACTCTCAACAACCTTCGCAACGAAGCGAAGGTTGGAGACTGGACGATAGTTAGCCAAAACAGCCGGATCCAGAGAGGGCTTCTTGAGGAGGGGCCTCACAACCGCTTCTTTCAAAGTGGCCGGCAGGACCCCCTCACTCAAAGAAGCGTTAACAATCTTCTGGAGCCAGCCTCGTGTCACCTCCCGGGAAGCCAGTACCAACCAGGAGGGACACGGGTCCAATAAACATGTGGTCGCGTTCAGCCGTCCCAGGACCCTGTCCATGTCCTCGGGAGCCACAGGATCGAACTCCCCCCAGATAACACTCTCAAGACCTGCCTCAGTCATCCCGTCCGGACATACCCAGTCAGAGGCCAGCCCTTCCCGAATCTGAGCGATTTTGTCATACAGATACTGCACAAAGTCCTCAGCTCGGCCCTGCAAGGGGTCATCCCGCGCTTCCAGATGGAGGAGGGAGCGGGTCACCCTAAACAGGGCGGCCGGGTGATTATCTGATGACGCGATAAGAGCGGCAAAATAGCTAGATTTTGCCGCTTTTATTGCCACTAGGTAGGTCTTAATATGAGACCTCACCAGTGTTCGGTCGGATTCGGAGCGGCTGGTCCTCCAACTACTCTCCAGGCGTCTTTTCCGGCGCTTCATCTCCCTAAGCTCCTCGGAGAACCAAGGAGCTAGGTGAGTTCGGTGCCGGGTCAGAGGCCGCAAAGGCATGACACGGTCCAAGGCCCCGGCAGCCGCACTATCCCAGGCGGCCACCAGGTCCTCAGCCGAGTCGTGAGCCAGAGTCTCAGGAAATGGCCCAAGCTCCATCTGGAACCTATCAGGTTCCATCAGGCGCCTGGGGCGGAACCACCTGGTCGGTCCCGCCTCCCTGCGGCGGGGTGCAGCGGTTAGAAAGTCCAGTCGAAGGAGCGAGTGGTCAGACCATGACAAGGGTTCGATGACTATATCCCCTGTATCAAGGCCACTCGACCACTGACCAGAGACAAAAACTAAGTCCAGAGTGTGTCCACCCATGTGAGTGGGGTCATGAATTAACTGAGTAAGGTCCATGGCCGTCATGGAAGCCATGAACTCCCGAGCCACCTCAGACGTTTCGCCGACAGATGGCAGGTTGAAATCCCCCATGACTAGAAGTCTGGGGGTACCAACCGCCACCTCAGCTATGACGTTGAGCAGCTCGAGCAGGGCCGTTGCCACGCGGCAGGGAGCCAGGTACGTGATCAACAAGCCCATCTGTACTCCACGACCCCATCTCACAAAAAGGGACTCACATCCGGCTATCTGTGGAACAGTGGTCTCCCTCGGATCAAGACTTTCCTTTATAATAACCGCCACCCCCCACCCCTGCCCTGAGCTCTCGGCTGATGGAATGCTCGGAAACCTGGTGGGCACATATCCACGAGGGGAACCCCCCCCCTCATGGCCCAACCAGGTCTCCGTAATACCTGCCAGGTCCGCTCCCCCCTCCTGAATAAGATCGCAAATGAGGGGGGCTTTATTTACCACGGACCTGGCATTGCACGACAGCAGCCGAAGGCTCGGGCCCTGAGAGTCTGAACAGCCTGGGATACGAGAAGGGCTATGGGGACCGGGGTGCGCCACCGCTCGAAGATAGCGAGTGCGTGCCCCCACCACATGATGCGGCCCCCTGCTCCCGCCATATCTGCCCCTCCCACTCAACACATTGATAGAAAAGCCCTCGACAGAATGGACTCTAATGTCCCCCTTACCCCCGGAATCCGCACCCTCCGTGGCCCCACTAACAGCTGGGCCGGACCCCTCCCCCTGTGGGTTAACCCCCAAACCCACACAACCCTCCCACCCCTTAAAATCCCTTAAAAATCTATCAAAAAGTTTCCCTAAAAAACCCCTCAATCCCCTTTTTGCAGCATGCCACCTCTCGGGGTGCCAAAGCCCGTCATGAAGGTAGGCCCTTGATAAAGTGGAGGGCCACACCTGCGAGAGGGGGGAGTCTCGCAGAATAAGAAGTTCTGTTGGTGAATACATCCAATCAATCAGTTAATTAATTAAACTGGGGGAAGTCCACGGCCTGGGGGTAATCCAGATAGTCCAAGGTCTGGGGAGGGACATTCAATCAATTCCAAGTCAATAAATTCAATAAATCCAATAAATCCCACTGCTCTGTCACAGCAGTGGATGGAGTCTTAAGCCACTTTGAGGCCAGATGTTAACACCAGCTGCCCTCTCACGAAAGCTGGGAAGGGCCAGAAACCGCAGTCATCGTCCGGCTCCATACAAGGCTTGAAATCTGAGATATCTCACTCTACAACTGGGGGGCTTTAATAGCAGCCACCAATCTACAGGTCCGCGAGCCAAGAGAAGCCTCCGATGGTTCTGGCGGCTGCACCTTGAGCGAATCAGGAGGCAAATCGGGGGGCTGTAGATGTCCATGGGAGGCAAGTATCATCCTATTGTTCAGAGGAACCTCCAGATAATAAGTGGCCTCACAGAGGCTAACAGACCACGTGGGGCATAAGAGCTTGGCCCCAGGTCTTTTCCAACCGTCAGAACCAGCAATGTTTTTAGCTCGCCCCCATCCACATAAGGGAGGGGGGGAACCTCTGGGAGAGCCAGGAAGAGGCCCCCTCCAAGTAAGCCTCCCATCTAAGTTGTAATAGCAGTTCCAAAGAAACTGACATTAATAGTATATTGTGGTCAGAGGCTCCTCGCACTCCCTAAGCAAGTTCCTCCTCCTTTTCGCCCCCTCTGGTGCCATCCCTCACAGCCGCTCGTCCTAGTATTGTAGCAAGTGCCAGCCCGACGATCCCAGCTCTCGAAAAATCTCCATCCATCGCTGGGAAGCGATGGGAAGCCCCTGCCGTCCCCTCGGAGCTCCGGGGAGAGACTGCATCGCCGACGCCGCCACCGCCCACTCCACCGGTCCGGCAGCTGCGGGGAGACGCCAAAGCCGCTCTCCCTGCTCGTAAAAACTGCAGCGCAGCCGCCTCCGTCTCCTCCCGGCCATCGCGTTCTGGAAAGCTGCCAGCTCTCAAAAAGGCAGCATCCGATTGGTGGGAAGGTCCATGGGGCAAAATTAGCTGGTCCGGCCCCCGAAAACCCCCAAAAGCCGGGGAATCTCCCCCAGGTATCACCGCTGCTCAGCTGGGAGCAGCCATCTTGGACATGCGCAAGCGGCCATCTTGGAGGGGTGGGGTGGGCGTGTTATGACGGTTGCAGTGTCCTGGGGTCACATGAACTCCTTTTGCGACCTCCTGACAAGAATCCGGGGGTGCCAGATTCACTTAACAACCATGTTACTAACTTAACAACTGCAGTGATTCACTTAACTGTGGCACGAAAGGTTGTAAAATGGGGCAAAACTCACTTTTGTCTCACTTAGCAACAGGAATGTGGAGCTCGGTTGTGGTCATAAGTCGAAGATTATTTATCATTGGAATTGCTGTTAATTGTAGCACTGCTAAGTAGCTTCACAGTTAAATAGTTTTTAAGTCCATTTAAAACATAAAACATAGAAAAATGGGGTTGGAAGGGAGCTAAGAGATCTTCTAGTCCAGGGGTGTAAAATTGAAGGCCTGGGGGCCGGATCTGGTCCGCGGGGTACTTAGATCTGGCGGGTGGGACCGCTTTGTAAACAGTGAAGGGCCAGCCCACAGTGCCTCTGCCAGGAAAAACAGAGCTCGGGAAGGCTGTGTGTGGCCCTCCCAAGCTCCGTTTTCGCTGGCAGAAGATTGCAGGAGGCCATCGCAGCCGAAAACGGAGCTCGGGAGCCTGTTTTCGCTGGCAGAGTAGTCGGACCAACACAGGCGCCCCCGACATGAGTGACATCGAGCTGGTCATGCTGTCCCTGGCCACACCCACCCCACCCCTCCAAGGTCCAAAACAACCCTGATGCGGCCCCCAATGAAATCGAGTTTGACACATGGCAGAAGACTTTCTATCATCCCGGTCAAATGTTGTTCAACTTTTCATGAGATGCAAACAGGAAAAACAAGGGTCTCTCCATCCCTTCCTTTCTCATCAGAGCCAGCAGAAAGAAATGCAAGGCATCTTAAAAAATCTGAGCCAGCAAGAAGAAAGGAACGTGGAAGGCGAGAAGGCCCTGGGGAAGAAGCTGAACGTCGAGATCCAGAAGCAAAGCTGCCTCATCGAGCAGCTCAGGCAGATGGTGGCCGACCGAGAAGCTCAGGTGAAGGAGCTGGAAGAAGTGGTCAGGCAGCTGAGGTTGCAGGTAAGGCTTCTCAGAGGCGAGAAGCGTGGGCAGAGGCATGGGGAATGGCCTGGAAGGACAACAATCAGATAAGAGGGGTTTAAGCCCTGTGCAAGAAAACAGTCTCCTTGAATTCATCAAACGTTGATATTAGGGGAAGATTCACTTTGAGAGCCAGTTTAGTGTGGTGGTTAAGAGTCTGGTCCAGATGGTGAGTTCTAGTCCTGCCTTAGGCATGAAAGCCAGCTGGGTGACTTTGGGCCAATCACCAAGAAACAATGAATTCTAGTCCCTCTTATTAGGCATAAAAGCTAGCAGGATAACTTTGGGCCAATCACTAGTAGACTTGGAGCTCCAGTTCCATTTTAGGCATGAAAGACGGGTGGGTAACTTTGGGCCAATTACCAGGAGACAGGGAGTTCTAGTCCTCCCTTAGGCATGAAAGCCAGCTGGGAGACTTTGGGCCAATCACTCTCTCTCAGCCCAGCCCAGCCCAACTCACAGAGTTGTTGTTGTGGAGAAAACAGGAGGAGGAAGGAGTGTCGTGTATATTTGAGTTATTTGTTAAATAATAAAGTCGGGATAAGAGTCTAATAAATCAATAAAGAAATGGAAACCCGAGCACTCAAAATCTGTTGGCTGATTTTTCATAGCAGCGAAACCTACCCCTTCAAGAGGAAAGTGGATTAGATTCGGGTTCCACGCTGTCTACAGAGTCTTTAGAAGAGGAAAATCAGAATTTAGCATCCCAGAAGGAAGACTCTAGCAGAAATGACAGCTCCACACGGTAGGGAAGGCGACGTTCTAAATCCCAAAATTAAATTAAATTATTTTAAAAGAGTCTCCTTTAATTCTGGTCCTCAATCATTACCTTGAGCCAGATTGGAAACCTTGGGATAGAGAAAAATTTTCTCAGCTGGATTCCTAAGCAAGATGGTTGTTGAGTGAGTTTTGCCCCCATTTTACGTCCTTTCTTGCCCCAGTTGTTAAGGGATTGGCTGCAATTGTTAAGTTAGCAAAATGGTTCTTAAGCGAATCTGGCTTCCCCATTGACTCTGCTGGTCAGAAGGTCACAAAAGGGGATCACATCAGGGGTGGGTTCTACTTACCTCTACTACCGGTTCGCATCACACCCACGTGCGCTCTTCTGCATGCGCAGATCAACTTTGATGATGTCCAGGTCAGTGGGCGGAGCCTCCCGCTGGTTTTACTGCCGGTTCTTGCGAACCGGTCCGAACTGGGGGCAACCCACTGGATCGCATGATCCCAAGACCCTCATAAATATGAGCCAGTGGTCAAGCATCTGAATCAGAGGTGGTATTCAGTCAGTTCCAATGGTGGGTTTCAAAATTTTTTTACTACCGGTTCTGTGGGTATGGCTTGGTGAGCGTGGCATGGCTTGGTGGGTGTGGCAGGGGAAGGATACTGCAAATTCCCCATTCCCTCCCGATCAGCTGGGACTCGGGAGACAGTCAGAATTTTTACTACTCAAAGTACTCAAGTACTCAACATTTCCTCTACTGGTTCTCCAGAACTGGTCAGAACCTGCTGAAACCCACCTTTGGCCGGTTCGGACCAGTTCATCCGAACTGGTAGCTCCGATGATCAGTTGGCTCCACCCACTCGCCCCCTTTCTATACTGTCCTTTATTTCCTGCTTTGTAGCTCATCTCAATCACGCAGCACAGCTGATTTCTCCCCCCCCCATTCACTGTTCTACTTACCGTTGCTGACTTGGCACTGAGCTTCTAAAATGTAAATGCTCCATTTTCAGCGCAAGCGCCTTAGGCGTGCACTTGCCGAACCAGTTGTTAAACCAGCAGCATTCCACCACTGATCTGAATTTTGATCACATGATCATGGGGATGTCGCAATGGTGGTAAAGTGTGAAAAACGGTCATAAACTAAGTCACTTTTTTTCCCAGTGACATTGTAACATCGAATAGTCACTAAATGAACTGCTGCAAGTCAACGACTACCGGTATCTGTGTCTATAATCACCTCAAGCACCTCAAGGTGTTTGCTTAACGACTGCAGCATTCGCTTATCAACTGCCGTGCTTGCTTTGTGACCCTGCGTTCGTTTAACCACTGCAGCCAAAAAGAGGTCGTAAAACAGGACACGGTCGCATAACAATGCTCTTAACGACCGTCATGACTTATGACCGTAAATTGCAGGCTCAATTATGGTCGTAAATTGTCGAGAATCTGTATATATAGTTTACTACAGTACTCTCACCTGTAATAACAACCCCAACTGTCTCGCTGCGACGCCAAACCGGAAGTCTGAATTCTGGGAGTTGAAGTCCATGCATTTTAAAGCTGTTAAGTTTGAGAAACAGTGGTTTACTATGTTGGTTACAATCACCCCAGGTGTGCAAATAAGATGAACTAGAATTTACAAACCTCAATAGCTGGGGCCCACCAAGCTTAGTCATCCTACATCTGGGTCTACTCACAGCAACCTGGCCTCCATCTGGATTGCATTCACCCTGACTCTCACGGAGAGCCATCAAATCCAGATAGTAGACCTTGCATCTTTGACTGGGTGAATGTTTTGGAATATTTGACCCCCAGAAATATGGAATGGAAGGACGAAGGGGAACTTAGAGGTCATCTAGTCCAGGAGGTGGTGGACTCCGCTTTGCTGGATGTTTTTAAATAAAAGTTGAAGTGGTGGGTTCCTCTGCTGAATAACAGAGCTGGAAGGGACTTTGGAGGTCTTCTAGTCCAACCCCCTGCTCAAGCAGGAAGCCCTATAGCATTCCAGACAAATGGCTGTCCAATTTCTTCTTAAAAACCTCCAGTGATTGAGCACTCAGAACTTCCAGAGGCAAGTCGTTCCACTGGTTAATTGTTCTCACCGTCAAGAAATTCCTCCTTCGTTCGAAGTTGGATCTCTCCTTGATTAGTTTCCATCCACTGCTGGCTCGGGTTGGACTAGATGATCTCTAAGACCACCATTTTCATTCTAGGATGTTTCGAAAGACTGCATCCTTTGCAAACTAGATTTCCCCCAGCCGTGCTTTTGATCCCACCCAAGTCAGCAGGAGCCCGGCCAAAAAGTGGTAAGATGAGCCGTTTAGATGCAGAAGTGAAAAATGTGACAGACGTTTTGTGTGTTCCAGGACAATGTCGAAGATGGGACACACCCTTGTGGACTCCGCAGCGACGTTATTCCCAGCAACTCCTGACAGGTTGGTGCAAAATTTACTTGTTGCATGACAATGCCCAGATTTTTCTCCCTTCCCTTCCAGGGAAGTCTGCAGGTGGCCTTAATTTATTTATTTATCCAATAAATTTTTTGAAGGGGTTAGGACAATGATGGCTAACCTTTTTGTTGTCATATGCCGAAAGTGCACATGCGCCCCAGCCCCCAGCCCCCCATTTTGGGCCTGGAAAGCCTCCTGCACAAACCTTTGCCAGCGTGAACGGCCTGGCTAGGTGGCTCAGTGGCTAAGACGCTGAGCTTGTCGATCAGAAAGGTCGGCAGTTTGAATCCCTAGTACAGGTCTCCTGCGTGAGCAGGGGTTTGGACTAGATGGCCTCCAAGCTCCCTTCCAACTCTGTTACTGTTGCTATTGCCTGCCGCCGCTGCGTCTTTGCAGAGGCAGCGATGGCTCCTCCTCCTCCTGCTAGCCTCGCGCTCCGGGCAGCATCCAGCCAGCCATGCCTGGCCTCCTCCTGTGTCAGCCCACGTGGATCCCGGGCAATGCAACTTTGGGGCCTTTCTTGGCGGCGACGGTGGCGGTGAGGCAGGCAGACAGGTGGGTGCAGGAGAGCAACTGGCAGCAGCGCTCCTGGCTGGCAAGGGGGTAGATGTCCCGGGGTTGCATGTGGGCATCGACGGCATGACTGGTGTGTGCGTGCGCTAAGAGGAGCTGCTCAGAGGGCATGCGCGTGCTGGGAAATGAACTTCTGGTTTCTGGCGCACGCATGCGCCCCGGACAGCTAGTTTTCTGGTTACTGGCGCCCATGCGTGTGCAACGATCAGCTGCCTGGCTGATCTGGTTTCTGGCACTGCCGCACGTGTGAAGGCCAGCTGATCCTCGCGCACTCATGCGCACCAGTAACCAGAAGACTAGCTGGCTGGTGCACATGGGTGCACCGGCAGAGGAACGGGCGTGTTCCAGGCGACATGGCTCTGCATGCCACTTCCAGCACACATGCCATAAATTTGCCATCACGGGATTAGGATGAAGGTCCAGAAGAGAAAGCTAGGAAAGGAACAAAAAAGGCCTCATTGCTAGGAATTAACCCCCGGAGAAGCAACAGCAAGATTTAAGACCAGATCAACAGCTTCCAATCAGCAAAGTCAATGGGGAAATCCAGATTCACTTAACGGCCATCTGATTTTTGTCATAAGTCGAGGACTGCTTCGACGGATAAAACACTGATTTGGCTTTTGATCTTCCTCAGGCTCCTTGAAAAGCTAAGCGGGTCAGACCTGGTTCATTCTTGGAGGGGGGAAAATCTGGAAAGTCCAAGGCTGTCGTCACTCAGACAAAGAAGTTGAAGAAATTCACCTTAAAAGTGCATGTTATTTTCATGCAAAAAAATATATGTGTGCATGTATGAGTATATGTATTTTTTTTTAAAAAAATTATTATTTTTACAACAACAACACAACACAACATACAAAACACAAACACACAATATGTGTTTCTTTTTACGTATCAGTTTCGTTCCTCTTGCTTTCTACTTTCTATATTTCCCATTGAGTATATGTATTGTTGGGCTCAATGGCGGTCATAAGTCGAGGACCACACACACACACACACACACACACCATATGTGTTTGTGTTTCTCTGTGTAGTTCTCAATTTATGATCGAAACTGAACCTAACATTTTTGTTGCTAAGCAAGATAGGTAAGTGATCTTTGCCCCATTTTGTGACTTTTCTTGCCATAACAGGTAAGTGAATCCCTGCAGTTGTTAAGTGACCAACACAGTCATTAAGCGAATCCAGCTTCCGCATTGACTTTGCTCATCAGTAGGTCACAAAAAGAGATCATGTGACCCCATGGACACTGCAACCGTCATAAATATGAGTCAGTTGCCAAGCTTCTGAATTTTGATCATGTGGCCCCTTGGCATACTGCAATGGACATTAAATTTTAAAAATAGTCCCATTTTTCAGTGCCGTTGTAACTTCAAACGGCCACTAAACGAATGGTTGTAAATTGAGGACTACCTGTGGATGTCCTTCATCTTAGTACAGGTAATCCTCGATTTACAACAGTTCATTTAGTGATGGTTTGAAGTTGCAACGGCTCTGAAAAAAGTGACTTATGACAGTTTTTCACATTTATATTTGATTGATATCCAGATGCTTGGCAACTGACTCACATTTATGACAGTTGCAGTGTCCCGGGGTCACGTGATCCTCTTTTGCGCTCTTCTGACAAGCGGGGGGGGGGGGGGGCGGGAGAGCCAGATTCACTTAACAACTGTGTTACTAACTTAATAACCGCAGTGATTTAGTTAGCAAATGTGACGAGAAAAATCGTAAAATGGGGCAAAACTCACTTAACAAATTTCTCACTTAGCAACATAAATTTTGGGCTCCATTGTGGTCGTCAGTCGAAGACTACCTGTATCAACTGGGAAACTGACATGTGGCCTGGGACATCCCATAAGTACCTAGCTGGATGTTGCAGCACGGATGTTGCATCCAGCACGGATGCCAAAAATCGGGCTTTCGGCCTTGATTACATTGCCAAAATCCGTTTTATTATCGGACAGCCAAACCAAGCCAGTCTTCTCTCTGTTTTAGGGCGCCAGAGCAGAAAGAGGTCGGTTTCAGGACCCTGCAAGCTCAGATCACTGAATACAAGACTCTGTGTCAAGCAGCAGAAGTGGAACGCGACCGTTTGATAGAGCTGGTCAGCATCCTACAGAAAAGGTAGGTCGCCAGGTGCAAAATTCCCTGGATTTTTTTTTTTTTGAAACTCAGAGTCCCTTGTTCCAAGCCACTCCAATGTTGAGACTCTGGAAAGAGTGCAGAGAAGAGCAACAAAGATGATTAGGGGACGGGAGGTTAGGGGTGGGTTCTAAATTTTTTTACTACCAGTTCTGTGGGCGTGGCTTGATGGTCATGTGACAATTCTTTAGGATTTAGCAGAGGTACTGGTGTACCAGGCTTTTAACTGCTTGCAGAGCTATACCGGTCTACCCATTTGTTTTTGGAGGCACCGGTCTACTCATTTGTTTTTGGAGGCACCAGTCTACTCATTTGTTTTTGGGAGGTACCGGTCTACCACCACACTGCCTTTTAACACTGGTCAGCTGTAGGGCGGCCCTTTGAAGCCCCATGGCAAGAGTTTAAACAGTTTTTTTTTTCCTTCTAGCCAATCAGCTAGGACTCAGGAGGCAGCAATAGATTGGGGATGGGGCCAAATAAAAGATAAGAATAATGGGGAGGGGCGGGGGGCCATAACCGGTTTGGTGACGTCATATCGTCACCGCTACCGGCTCGGCCGAACCGGGCCGAACCGGGAGGAACCACCACTGGGTATGTCTAGTTTAGTGAAAAAAAGGACTAGGGATGACATGATAACAGGGTTCCAATATTTCAGGGGCTGCCCCAAAAAAGAGGGAGTCAAGCTATTCTCCAAAGCACCTGAAGGCAGGAGAAGAAGAAGGAGAATGGAAACTTATCAGAAAGAGATCACTAAAATATGAGCCAGCCTTGTGCTGCAGCAGCCAAAAAAGCCAACACAATCCTAGGCTGCATTAACAGAGGGATAAAATCAAGATCATGTGAAGTGTTAATACCACTTTATAATGCTTTGGTAAGACCACATTTGAAATAGTGCATCCAGTTTTGGTTGCCATGATATAAAAAAAACATCCCAGTCATTCCAACCCTACCTCTTGGATTTCTTAGTGGTCTCCCATCCACCTATGCCCAAAGCTAGATTCTGAATCTTTGGGGAAACATTGACAATTCTCTCTTGGCTGTTGAGTTGTCGCGGTTCATGGGGTTACAGGGGTATTCGCCTTTCTGACGATGCGCACCTACGATGTTTGTGTCTCCAGGGTGGACGAGAGCATCACGAAAGTTTGGGAAGCGGAGAAGAAATTTCAGGAACAGCAACACAAGTACGTCACTCTTGAGCAGCAGTTTGCCAAGCTGAAGATGGAATCCGGAAAGACAGTCGTGGCCCCCAAGGCCCAGCCCAAAACCAAAGCAGGTAAAATTGTTGAAAGCATCTAGAAAAGTGACACTTCAAAGAATGCCATGCGCAAAACTTGACCGGTGAAACTTCCAAGTAGCCAAGGAGGATTTTTGCCCCTAATGGTTGACAAAGAGAGGCTGTTGGAGAAAGTCCCAAAATAAGGCAAGAGGGTGGTCGCAACTGCACAAAAATCCACCCTTTTGAATGAAAACGTAGTGCTTGATTTACAACTGGTCGCTTAGCAACCATTCAAAGTTACGACGAACTTCCCCAGGAGAACTTACGAATCAGTAAGTTCCAATGGCCCCGCCCCTTTCCCTTGTGGTCATGTGACCAATAATGGGGCACTTGGCCGCCACCTTTCATTGACGGCCATTTGCAATCTCCGATGACTGCGATTTTGGACCGTTTTCCCTCCCAAAAAACGGCATTTACTTTTGGTTTCCGGGCAAAAACCTCCATTAGGTGTAATGGATTCACTTAATGACCATTGCGTTCGCTTAACAACCACTGCAAAAAAGGTCACAAAATCAGGCGCTGTATGATTTAAAACCACCATGACTGATGAACGCGATCCTCGTAATTCAAAAATGACACATATGTGCATTTCCCCCAAAAAATTTACTTTGGTTTCTGGAACAAAAAACACCCCATAGTAAAAAAAAAAAAAGGGATTTGCTTAATGACTGCAGTGTTTGCTTTACGGTTCTGGCGTTCACTTAATGGCAGCAGTGTTTGCTTTAACGACCCCTGCAAAAAAAATCTCAGAAGTTATTATAACTTAGATAAGGATGTAAATTAAGCTAGTGATAGATAGAAGTAGAATTTGTGTATGGAAGTTAATTAGAATAGAGATATTGATGTAGAAAAGCTGTTACTAATGTTTAAGTTTTGATTTTTGTTTGTTTGTTTTTGTTGTGTGTTATAGTTTTCTATTTTTTGCTCTTTTCTATTTTTTATACTGTGTATTTTAATGTTTGAAAATTCAATAAATATTATTTTTTTTAAAAAAAAATCTCATAAAATGAGGTCTAACCTTGAACAATCATCATGACTTACGACCTTAATAGCCAACCTCAATTATGGTCGTAAATCAAGGGCTACACCGGTATTTTTTTAATCTTTGCGACTTTAGGATGCGTGGACTTCAACTCCCAGAATTCCCCAACCAGCCATGCTAGCTAGGGAATTCTGGGAGTAGAAATCCACGCGTCTTACAGTCACTTTCTGCTTCTCAACTGAAAATACGAACTGTGATATTTTTCAGAAAAGTTTAGAATTCGGTGGGTTTGTGGGCAGCCTTCAGGATCAATGTCCCTGTTTAACGACACGTCTTGTCTCAACAGCTCAGCCACTCAGCAGCGGCAAAATGAATTGGAACGCCGGGGATAAAAAAGATCTGCCCTCCGTCCAATTTTCCGAAGTGCCTCTGGAGTCTCAGTTAGAGGAACTCTCCACACAGTGAGATGTTTAATATTTTTTTCCCTCTTTTAAAAAAACCCAAAACCCTCAAAGCTCTAAATTAGAGGTAAGAAGGAATACAGGAAAGTGACGGAACAATTTCTGCTAATACAGATAGTCTTCGACTTACGACCACAATTGAGCCCAAAATTTCTGTTGCTATGCAAGACAATGAGTTCTGTCCCATCTTTCTTGCCACGGTTGTTAAGTTAGTGACACAGCTGTTAAGTGAACTCTGGATTGAGTTTGCTTGACAGATGACCCCTAGGACACTGCAACCGTCATAATTAGGAGTCAGTTGCCAAGCGTCCAAATTTTGATCACGTGACCATAAAGATGCTGCGATGGTCATAAGTGTGAAAATTTGTCTTGTCACTTTTTCAGTGCCATTGTAATTTTGAATGGCCACTAAATGAATGGTTGCAACTCGAGAACTGCCTGCACAAGTGATCCTCAATTTATGACTGTAGTTATACGCCATAATTATAATTATGAGCCCAGAATTATACTCATTTGTCCTAATGATCATTAAGCAAGTTAAGATGTGACTGCTCACGATTTTACAACCTTCTTTGCGGCAGGCATTAAGCTGAACACTGTAGTCTTTAAGCAGAACCATGTTACCCAACGGCTGTTTTTTTGCCGGAATGCAGAATTAAACATTTCTATCAAAAAAATGTCATAAATCATGGTCACACAAAACTACAAACGTCTGTAAATGCAGGCCAGTTGCCCAGCATCCAAAATATGACGGCATGACCGCAGGGTGTGGGGCAGTTGTCAGAATTTTGAATCCAAGTCATAACTAGCCCTCACAAGGTCTGTCATAATATCAGGGAATTGCACATCCGGTGACCAAATGGAGTCAGAGATGCTGACACAAACTTGTAGTTTTATATAAAAATATATTTTATAACTATATCCATGGCAAACTAGATTGTCAGGCGAACAGGAGCATCCTGAGGTAAATCAACACAGCAGGAACGTCCTGAGGTAAATTACACTGCACACAGGGCACCCAGATGAAAAAAGGCGGGAAACAAGGACACTCCCCCTTTTCACTCACAGCAACCAATCACAGCTCAGGTTGCCTCACACCGTGGCCAGCTTTCTTCAGCTAATCAACCACAACTCAGGCTCACTGTGCAACCCTTCACTGCTCTAGCTATTTAATATCTTTAACCCATAACTTTGAATGGTCTCTAGGTGACTGGTTGTAAATCGAGGACCACATGTATTTTTGATCAGCTATCAACGTCCATTTATTTCTTCTAATTATTTATATATAAAATTTATTGGCTTCCCATCTTAACCTTGAGGTAACTCTGGGCAGCTTAAAATCGTAAAAATGCATCAACCATTTCTTTCCATGAAGGCTGGCGATCCAGATGGACGAGATCGAAGGCCTGAAGAGCGCTTTGCAAGAATCTATCCGGACCAAAGAGGAAGACTTCCAGGTGTACCAGGACACCGTGGGACAGGTGAAGGAGATCTTCCTGCACGCTCTGAAGCAGCACACGCAGGAGAAGAACTGAGCCGGTCCCAGTGGTGGGAGGGGGTGAGTCCTGCTGTCCAGATATGGTCCCTCCGAGGTGACTCTCGTTTAAATACTTTCAGGAGGGCGCAGAAGATACAGCAGATGCTGGTCCTGTAGAAGATGCGGGTGATCCCCAGCTAGAGGGACCCAGGGGCCAGCTCCTCTCGTCCATAATGATGTACTCGTAGCCATATTCCCTGGATCGGTAGTCTGGCACTCGTTCTGAACGAGTCTAGAATCCGTAAGCGGGAAGGATTTGCTTGGGTAGAAACCAACTTTGGATCAACTTTGACATCCCTTGCCAAACAAAATCTGTTTTAAAACTTTTGCAGTGTAAATACAGACCCTGTTGTCACTCGGCAACACCCGGACAAAGTATAATGTTTCGTTTATTTTCTCGAAAGACATGATACGCTGCTGCTTTGCTCGCGCACTTGTGAATTGCAGGGAAGGCGGTGGGTGAGTTGTATGTCAGGGTTCCAAGGAACACCCCCAACAAAATAAAGCTCTGAGGCCTGAGGTTCCTCAAACTTCCAATTTATTAAAAATGTCATGTTGGCACATCTGGGAAAACCTGAATCTGAAAGCTTCCAGGTTTCCCCCACCCAGCTAAGAGTTCACAGCGCTGCCCCACACCCACAAGTTCATCACATTGTCCAATCAACTCTTCACACTCCACCGGATACAATCTTCAGGCAGTCTGCATCAGACGCAGGCAAAAGTCCTTGAATACGGAATGTTGTTATGACTAACTTTCTACCGCTCCAACAACAACCCCCTCCCAACTTCCCCATTTGAAATATGTGGCAGTTTAGAAGCAAAAAGAAAATTGTCTTCCAAAACTGACACTGTTTTTCCTGGATCGCACATTTACAACCATGTCTGTACACTTCCTGTGCCTTCTTTCATTTCTGCCCAAACTTGCTTCACCATCAGTTAATTCCCTTATGGTTTTCGAGTTTGTCTTCGGACGTTTTCTCCTTGCTGAGTTGCTCAGGGAGGGCTCAGATTAAATTAGATAAAATATTGACCCAAAAGGAGTTCAGCTTGAGTTGAAGATGATTTGGCATCCTGTAGCCATGAAAAGAAAAGTAGGCAAGAAGATAGATAGATGAGAGGTACAGAGAGCGAGATGGATGGATAAAGACAGAGAGATACCGGTAGAGAAAGATAGAAATAGATGATGAAATAGATGAAATAGAGCCGAGGTGGGACAGTGGTTAGAGTGCAGTACTGCAGGCTACTTCTGCTGCCTGCCGGCTGAATCTCTCCGGGCTCAAGGTTGACTCAGCCTTCCAGCCTTCCGAGGTGGGTAAAATGAGGACTCCGATTGCTGGGGGCAATAGGCTGACTGTAAACCGCTTAGAGAGGGCTGTAAAAAGCATTATGAAGTGGTATACAAGTCTAAGTGCGATTGCTATTGATAGATAGAGATAGATAGGCAGGCAGGCAGGCAGTTAGATATAGGAATATTTTGAGTAAGTAAGTAGTGCCATAGTTGTGCAGTGGTTAGAATGCAGTATTGCAGGCTAAACTGCATTCCCATGGAGTTCGATCCTGATGGGTTCAAGGTTGACTCAGCTTTCCATCCTTCCAAGATCAGTAAAACGAGGACCCAGATGGAGGCAATATCCTGACTCTGTAAATCAATTAAAGAGAGATGTGAAGCGGTATATAAGTCTTAAGTGCTATTACCGTTGCCGTGAGCCAGCGGCGTGCTTCAGCCACCAAAAAAGCCAACACAGTCCTAGGCTGGATTGATAAGAGGGACAGAATCAAGATCACCAGAAGTGTTAGTGCCACTTTATAATGCCTTGGTAAGGCCACACTCGGAATACTGCATCCAGTTTTGGTCACCATGGTATAAAAAAGACGGTGAGCCTCTAAAAAGAGTGCAGAGAAGGACGACAATGTCATCCCTGCTGAGGAAGATGCTTTGTTGGCCGAGGAGCCGAATCATTTCTTCGCTCGCTTTGAAGTGGAGACATCAGAGACAGCTAAAATACAGCCACCAGCCCATTGTAGCCCACACCTCATTATGGAGGAAGAGGAGGTGAGGAGCATTCAGAGGGCTGTGGACCCTAGAAAGGCTGCCAGTCTTGACCGTATCTCTGGCCGAGCGCTTAGAGACTGTGTTGATCAGTTGGCTGGAATCTTTACCAGGATCTTCAATCAGTCTTTATCCCAGTCCACTATTCCATCTTGTTTGAAGGCTTCCACCATTGGTTCATTGCCAAAGAAGTTCCCTATCAATAACCTCAACAATTACAGACCACTGGTACCCACTGCTATCATCATGAAGTGCTTTGAGAAATCGGTCTGCCGGCACATCATTTCTGATCTTCCGCGTAAATTTGGTAAACGCCAGTTTGCATACAGAAGAAATAGATCTACAGAGGATGCCACAGCTATCAATCTTCACACTGCTCTGACTCATCTGGAACGATTTGGGGTGGGTGGACCACGTGAGGTTGCTTTTTGTAGATTTTAGCTCTGCATTTAACGCAGTAATTCCACATGGACTAGTGTCCAAACTGATGGATTTTGGGCTTTCTTATTCAATCTGCCGTTGGATTATGGATTTCCTCTCTGGGCACTCTCAGAGGGTCAGATTAGGTAATCATATCTCTTCAGCCCTTAATACTGGTACACGACAGGGTTGCGTGTTGAGTCCCTTACTCTATACTCTTTATGTATATGACTACATTCCCACTCACACCAGTAATACTACTATTAAATTTGCAGATGATACAACAGTGGTGGGACTCATCTCCGGGGGGGGGGATGAGTCTGCCTATCGAAATGAACTGGGACGGTTGCTTTCGTGGTGTGGAGACAATAACTTGGTCCTTAACACCAATAAGGCCAAGGAGCTTATAGTGGACTACAGAAGGAATAGATCAGACATCCAGCCCTTGCTTATTAATGGAGACCAAGTGACCAGTTTTAAGTTTCTGGGTGTTATCATAAAAGAGGACCTGATCTGGGGCTCTCACATTGCAGCACTGGTCAAAAGGGCCCCAGCAGAGATTATACCACCTGAGACTTCTCAGGAAACAACAACTGAATGAAAAATTGCTGGGGACCTTCTCCCATAGAGAACCACCATAGAGAGTATTTTAACTTACTGCACCTGTGTCGGGTTTGCCAATTGCACAGCGGCAGATAGGACAGCGCTCCAGAAGGTCAACGCCATTGCCCAGAGGATCACTGGTTGCCCCCTCCCCTCTTTGGAAGAGCTTTATAGCTCCCGCTGCCTTAAAAAAGTTCAAAACATTCTTAAAGATCCATCTCATCCTGGATCTCACCCTTTTTTTTTTTTTGAACTATTACCATCTGGCAGACGGTACAGGGCAATAGAAACAAGCACAAATAGGCTGAAAAAACAGCTTCTACCCCAAGGCAGTAAAACTATATTGAATTCTACTGTATAGTGCAATATTAAATGCAACATCGGGTTTTCAATTCCATTGTATAGAATGCGAAGGAATTTTTTTAAAAAATTGATTTATATGCCGCCCTTCTCCGGAGACTCAGGGCGGCTTACAATGCGTTAAGCAATAGCCTTCATACTTTTGTATATTTGTACAAAGTCAGCTTATTGCCCCCACAATCTGGTTCCTCAGTTTATCTACCTTAGAAAGGACGGAAGGCTGAGTCAACCTTGAGCCTGGTGAGATTTGAACTTACAGTAATTGCAGACAGCTGGTGTTAATTACAATGCTTTTAGTCTGCTGAGCCACCAGGCCCAGGAAGGATGTGTGTTTTATTTTTATAGTTAATAATGTACACTGAAGATGGCATTTAATTTCGTTGTACGAGGTGCAATGACAATAAAGTAAACTAAACAAAGATGATTAGAGAACTGGAGGCTAAAAGATGCTGAACTGCAGCTACTTCAGCTGACCGCTAGTTCAGCAGATCAGCGGATCAAATCTCACCGGCTCAAGGTTGACTCAGCCTTCCATCCTTCTGAGGTGGGTAAAATGAGGACCCAGATTGTTGGGGACAATATGCTATTTAGTACACTGTCTTTGGTGTAAGCTGCCCAGAGTCCTCGGAGAGTGGGCGGCATAGAAATATGACTAATAAAATAAATAATAAAACGTAGATGAACAGTTGCAGGAATTGGGTATGTCTAGTTTCATGAAAGGAAGGACTAGAGCAGACATGGTAGAGGTCTTTCAGTATTTGAGGGGCTGCCACAAAGAAGGGATCAACTAATTCTCCAAAGCACCTGAGGACAGAACAATAGATGGAAACTAATCAAGGAGAGAAGCAACCTGGAACTAAGGAGAAATTTCCTGACAGTGAGGACAATTAAATCAATGGAACAATTTGAAATTATGGGTGCTCCATCACTGGAGGCTTTAAACTGGACAGCCACTTGTCTGAAATGGTACAGGGTTCTCCTGCTTGAGCAGGGGGTTGGACTAGAAGACCTCCAAGGTCCCTTCGAGCCCTAGAATTCTACTATCTCCAGAGGACACATTTTCAGAGATTGGCTCAAAAGCACCTCACGGCCTTCATACCCGCTATACTCTTCTTAGTTCATGACTTCCCATGGAGTGTGCAGCGATGTTAAATCCTTTTAATTAAATTCTTATTTTATCTACACCTTCCGCAGCACCCAGCAGGTGGAGTCTCAGCCATCGTCGGCTGCTCTCTCAGCAGCCCAGGAGAGTCAGATTTCCTCAGTTAGTGCAAAATCTTCCCGATTAAACCTTTCAGTATTTCTGGCTTGTTTTGAACAAGTTTCCCATCCTCCCCTTTTTTTCATCCATTTTCCCAAGAAACCCCGCATCAAAAGACAGCGTGTGGAGTTGCATCATGAATGGCCAGCAAGAATATACTTGAATTAATTCATTAATTCAAGAATAACTTTTTTTCCTTTTGGTTTTTATTTTATTCAGATAATGTTGCCAGGTGTCCACTATTTGAGCGGACAGTCTGCTTTTTTCACATTATGTTCACTATTTTTTTTCACAAAATAGTGGACATTTTTTTTTATTCAAAAGCTTTATGATGAAATTAAAATGTAATTTAATATTTTACATATTATTATAGTATATTTGATGTTTTGAATTTTAAGTAAAGTTTTGAAGTGATTATTTTAATATGTGTTAAAATGTTTGTAGAAAATATATAATTCAATTGTAATTTTTTTTTATTTTTTTACTACTTAAACTCCCCTCTCCCCCCCCCCCGCTTGTCCACTATTTTTTGGAAGCAGACCTGGCAACCCTATATTCAGAAGATTAAAATACAGGTAGTCCTCGGCTTACAATCACAACGGAGTCCAATGTTTCTGTTGCTAAGCAACTTTGCCCCGTTTTACGACCTTTGTTGCCGCCGTTGTTAAGTGAATCACAGCA